GTTGCGGCGGTGCAGCAGCAGGCTTCCGGCGACTTCGCGGCGGCGCTGCTGGCGACGCAGGCCAGTGGCGGCCAGTGCTGGGGCAGCCAGCAGAATCTGGCCGCGTGCGGCGCGGCACCAGCGCGGAGCGCGAGCGGCAGCTTTGACGCCGGGATTGGGGCTGGCGGGCAGCCGCATCAGCAGCAACAGCAGCTGTTCCAGCAGCAGCAGCAGCAGCAGCAGCAGCACGTGGCGGCGGCGGCGAGCGCCCTCTTGCAGCAGCAGCAGCAGCAGGCGGCCGCCGTGCTGCTGCAGCGCCAGCTCAGCGGCGGCGCGGCGTCCGCCGCGGCGCACGACGGCCTGATGGGCCAGCTGGCAGCCGCAGCATACGGCCAGTTGGACCCGCGGCTCGGCAGCGCCGGCGGCTTGGGCAGCGGCGGCCTGGGCGGCCTGGGCGGCGGCTGGGGGGCTCCCCTGCCGCAGCCGGTGCCGCCGGGCGGCTGGGACGCCGGCTGGGACCTGCTGCAGGGCCTGCAGGCGCAGCAGCTACACCAGCACGCCGCGGCGCAGCACGCGCAGCAGACGCAGCAGGCGGCGGCGCAGCAGCAGCTGCTCGCCCAGCTCAAGCGCGCCGCGGCGGGCGCGCCGGCGCAGGCCGCGCAGGCCGCCGCCGCGCTCGCGGCGCAGCAGGCGGCGCAGCAGGCTCACGCGCAGCTCGCGGCCGGCCAGGCGGCAGCCGCGGTGGCGGCGCTGCAGCAGCAGCTGCAGGGCGCGGCCGCCGCGGCGCAGGGGCAGGCGCATCTGTTGGGGCTCGCGCCGCCGCCGCTGCAGGTGCCGGCCGGCGCGGCGCCGGGCGCGCTGGGCCTGAGCAGCCCCGCGGCGGCGCTTCAGAGCATGGTGCTGAGCGGCGGGCCGGCGTCGCCCGGCGGAGCCAGGTGCGGGGGGCGCGCGTGGGTAGGAGGGGATCCGTGCGCGCAAGGCGAAATCGGGGAACAGAGAGAAGGGGAGCAGTTCTTGGGGGCGACGCGCACAGAGCAACGGCGTGGGGACGTCTGCTCTTCTCGCTGCACCCGTGTAGGCATGCGCCGTCGCCCGTCCGCTGCCTCTGCCCGCCCCACGATCTCTGCTACCCACTCCTGGATCAACCTGCCCTGTCACAACCCGCGCCCCCGCCACACGCCGCAGGCTGCCTCGCCCGTCCCCAAGCCGCCTTTCTCACGTAAACTTTGCCGGCCCCTCACACCGGGAGGCCTGACCGCACGGCCTGCCAGGCCGGCGGCAGCGCCGCCGCCTCCGCCATGCGTTGCTGCCTCATTTTTCTTTCCCGGCCTGGATGCACTGTGGGTGGTTTGGCTTCTCATGGGACGGCTGCCAGGCTGGATGATAGACATGGCACCTTAGTGCCCCCGCGGAGAAGCAGCAGCCGCTGCTGCAACAGATTGGCGTGACGCCAGTGGTGGTGCAGGGGCGCCGGCCCGCTGCGCGCTGAGTTGAAGGGGCCGGCTGGCGCATCAGTTGTGCTGGATGTGCGGTCCGCCGCCCCTCGTTGCGTTGAACTTGCGTCCGGCCAAAACGCGGCACGCATCGCCCGCCCTGCGCCCGGGCGGGGCAACAGGGCACCACACGCCCGCGCCGACCCAGTGTGCGTGAGCGCTGGGAGCGAGCCTCCTGCAGAACTGAAAAACCTTCCTAACTGCAACCCGATTTTGACCCACCGGCGCCGGTGCCGGCGTGCACCGCCTGGCATAGCTTGGCGGGGCCGCCCGACCGCATCCGTGCGGGGCGCCCCACCCCCACCCCATTGTTTCCAAAGCCTGCACACTGTCAACAGCGATATGAGGGGATACCATACCAGTATCTCCAGCCCTGGAGCAGTGTAATGTCATGCTACTTGAAGTGTCTTGTGCAGTCTTCCAGGTTGGTGCGCCGCTGTCCGGGATTAGTCGAGTCCACAAGGCACTGCTATCCACGGCGTGCCCAGGTGTGAGCGGCAAAATGATACGTCAGATTTCTGTATTACGTCTTGAACACTACGCGTCACCGTGCTCTGCCTGCATGGGCGGCTGGTTCCCTCGTAAATGCTCGCCAACCAGCTGCCCAGGCTCGCACGCCATCAGTCGAAGCCAGACGTCGGTTACGTTGCGTTATTCGACTCAAAACAAACATAAAACATTATCCACCTCCAAATTTTACTCCGCATTGCGCCTTGCGGAGCGGATACATTCGGCTTGTGTTGGGGCTCCCGCGGCCAGAGCCTCCATGGCGTCGGCAGCGCATATGCGCAACCTTAACTTGGTTGCAACTTGCGTGCTGTTGTTTGGCCTGACATCATGGCCGACGCAAGCAGGTGAGGTGCGGCGCGCAACTCAACTCAACGGCGGCACATCAAATCAGCGATACGTTGCTGCTCCATTTTTATAGGGATGTTTACCTGTGCAGATCCATGAAATTAGTGGACTGATTTCCGCAAAGCTACTTGAACTGCATGCCGTCGTTGCAGGGTTGGCCGGCAGGAATTGGGGTGAATGACCATCGCAAGAGCGTGGCCGCCCCCAATGCCTGCGCCCTGATCAAAGCAAGGCCCAATATTCCTCCACACAAAACCCGGCACAAGTAAATTCTGAGCGAAACAGCCTGTGCGCCTGCGCCGCGCACCCTTGGCCCCGACGCAGCCAAGCCGCTGCCCGGCCCCAGCCGGCAGCTGCTGCAGTCGCCCGGCGCCGCCGGTGACCTCAACGGCTTCAACTCTTTCTACGGTGACCCCTGGGGCACAGCAAATGGATACTACGACCCCCAAGGCCCCGGCTACATCCCAGGTGGGAGCGGGTGGCCGGCTGCCTGTCGCATCACGCCCACCAGATAAACAGTGGCGGCGCATGGGGCCGCGCGCTTCCTGCCCGTCCCCGCGCTCCTCATGCGGGCGCCTCCAGCCGTCGCGCGCACACCAACTTCATTACCCTCCCTGATGCTTGCCTGCTCCTGCACTGGCGTTCCTGTCCGACGAACATGGCCCCAGACCAATCGATCTCCTCTGCAACCTCGGGCCAGGTTTCATCAACGTGGACGTGTCCAAGGAGTACGGTGCACACTTCGACTTTGGGCCCGTGGCGGTTGACCTGACGCAGGACTTTGCGGGGTTCACCGTCGGCAACGCGGTCGGCGCCGGCTACGCACGCGACGGGCGCGGGTGAGGCGCCGCCGGGGGGCGTGCGACGTTGGGTGCGGGGTGGGCACGCTTTTCAGCCAGCCAAACAAACCGTGAGCTCGCAGTACTGAGGAGCCACACTCGCTGTTCCCACGCCAAAATCATTTGTGTGGTTCACGATCACCGCCCCGTCATGCGTTGCCGCCCCAAACACCTGTTATGCCCTACCTGTCGCTTGCAGGTACAACGTCCAGCTGGGCGGTGGTAACATAATGGACCTCTCGGTCAACAAGGGCTCCGGCTTTGGCCTGTGGCTGCTCAACGGCCTGGTCAACATCAACATCGGCGCTGACGGCCGGTGGAACGTCGTCCCCAGCGCCGGCGCCGGCGGCTTCGGCGTGAAGAGCGCGGGCGCGGGCGCGGGGCCGGTGGACCCAAACCAGGCCGTGACTGTGCAGGGCATGCAGGAGGCGGTCGGGCCGGCGGCGGCAATGGCGCAGGCGCAGGCGCAGGCACAAGCGCAGGGGCAGGGCCAGGGGCAGCCCGGTCTGGTGGATGCGGCGCAGGAGGGTGCACAGATGGATCCCTCGCAGCTGCAGGCGCAGGCTGCTTATCAGCAGGCGCCGGCGGCTTACCAGCAGCAGCCCCTCCAAGCAGCGGCAGCGTATCCCCCGGCGTACGCCGCCGGCGCGGCCTACCCCCCGCAGCAGCAGCAGCAGCAGCAGCTGCCGCCAGCTGCAGATTACGGAGCGGCGGCCGCGCAGCTGCCGCTTCCGCAGCAGCAGCCAGGGGCGCGGCGCGCGTGCGAGGGCGGTGTGGTGGTGCGTGTGGAGGACGACGGCGCTGGGGGCCAGAAGTACGTGTGCAAGTACAAGAGGGGCGCGGGGCCAGCTGGTGGCCGCTAATCCCGCTGCAGTCAAAATATCCGGTCAAAGCATGGCTGGTGACAACCGCAAGCCCGGCGGCGGCACCGGCCGTAACAACATGCACTCTGGGACTTCAAGCGGCCAGAAAGTGTGCAGATATTGCTTGTCAAGGACTCGGTCATCCCCCTGCCCACGAATTGGTTGTGCTGCCTTCTGCAGCCGACCGCTGACCTTTTCATGTGCTCAAGGCACCTTGAATCACTGCAACCAGGCATGAGATCATACCTACAGCTGGACGGCTGCGCCCTGCTGCGCCATGTGTGCGTGTGGCTGGCTGCCGGCTGGATAGGCGCACTTATGACTACGGCACCTGGGCCTCTTGCGGTCTGCATGCCTGCACAGCGCAGACCCACGTTGCTCAGCCCTTCCATCTTCACTGCCTAGCAAACCATTCCCAACCGCCTAGTGCATCACTGTGCGACAACGCAGCTCCCTGCCCACCTGTTCATGAAACGTCAAACTGCACAAGAGGCTACGCGTGCATAAGCATGGCACCAGTGCACTATAAATGCGGGTGTGCACCTCTTGCGCACTCGTCCCCCCTCTTTTGCTGGGGCGAGCCCAGGGACCATGTGTTCCAGCCACTCATAAGCGTGGCAACTGCTTGTGCGCTGCCCCCCCCCCCTTGCGGTGATTGCAAAAAGCACCATGAATTTTTATGTCAGCATCAGCAATGTGTCTGCTGAGTGCAAAGCAAATGAAATCACCACAACTGCAACACAACCAGTACATGTTTGTGGTGCCTGAGAGGTGCCGCTTGACACAGCTGCGGTGGAGCTTCTTGCTGGCTGCTGCTGCGTGCATCACGCAGGCCAGTGTTCAGGGAATGGTTCAAGCTGATAAGCTAATGATGCCGCCGACAGCGGCAGAGGTCAAGGCAGGATGCCGCAAGCAAGTACCTGGCGCAGCATGTACACCGGCGCTGCTGCCTCGTTCGCTGCCAGCTGCGCAGCGCCTTGGAACGGGATCACTGGGCTCGACCCACGCCGCGAGTGGGTCGCTGGCTGTGGCTGATAATCTGTCTGTATCCGTCGGTAGCAGCAGCCCCCACGATGCTCCTCGACAGGCACTGCGCCCTTGCGGCTGTGAGGGTTATGGCGAGGTCGAGCTGGCCCCTGCTCAGCCAATGGCTCGATGAGCATGAACGACCATGCAAGCCCGACACAATGGGGTTTGGGGTGGCCGCCACGCTGACAGCTCGCCTGGCAACAGGGGAAGTCATGGGTTGTGGCGATCACACAAATATTGACAAACATCCTACTGGACAGGGCAAAGCGTTGAAGGCACCAGGACTGCAGCGCAACACCAACACCTGCTGCGCCATGCCACGACCCGCAGCGTCAACACCGCAACGCCTGAGTGGTGCTGGCTGAAGCAACATGCGGCCAACAGTGGTCAGCGCCACACTTGCGGTGTGAGGGTTTGGGTGCGTGCGCGCCGCCGCCTCACACAACATCTGGCCTTCTATTGCACACACACACCATGGGGGCCGCCCTGCTCCAGCACCGCTTTTTGTGTCGCAATTGGCATGATTGCGGGCGTTCTGCGGTGTGCTGACAGTTGCGGAGAGGGTGCGGCGATCACGGCATGCATATCTGGCATTTGCTTGTCTTTGAGTTACCACGCCACCGTGCTGATGCACCAAAATTTGTGCAGAAATCAGGATGGCTGCCTGTCAGCATCCGCCGCTAAAATGTCCCTGCTGGCTTGTCGTGCCTCATACTTGCCTGAAACCCTGCCATGCAAACTTTGTCAAGCCAGGCCCCCTAGTGACGGGGCCCGAAAAAAGAGCAACCTCGGCTACAGCTCGGAGATGAAAATATATAAAAACGTGCTGGCATAATCATGTTGATACTCAGCCCGCCACGTCTCATTTGTCCTGCCTATTGCTCTGACAGCAATCACAAGCACCGCGGCCCCGACGAGCGCGAGGCGAAGGTATTGACGGGCCACCACCGCGACCGCCACCATCCCGCCACCAAAAAAGTTCGCGGCCAGGCCGCCTCGTCAGCAGCCCGCCCCAACGAGCTGGGCCCCGCCAAATCAGCCGCCTTTGCGACTGCGCCGCACCAATCCCGCCCGGCCGCCGCGCGGCGCGTTTGGTTGCGAGCTGCTCGATCAGAAAATCGCGCGCCGCGGGGTCAGGGGGGCCGGCTGCCGCGTGCCAGCGGCGGTGTCACAGCTCCAGCACCCCGCTGACCTCACTGAAGTCTACGCGCGCCGCGGTGTAGCCGGTGCGCTTCACTGTGGCCCGCGCAAAGCCCAGCAGGCGCCGCGCCACCTGCGGCCGTGCAGGAGGGGCGGGCGCGGCTCGGCCGCGTGAGCGCTTTGGGGGGCGGGGCGCTCGGCGCCTGGGCGGGCGCCGCAGGGCCGCTTTCAGCGCAGCTGCGGGCTCGGCCCCTCGTCCACCACCGGTGCTAGCCCCCGTGATGCCCTGCAGCGACCAGTATCCCCCCTCCCCCACCCGCACGCCTCCTCATCCCTGCCCAGCCCAAAACTGCGCAGCCCCTGGCCATCCCTGAGCCACCGCTGTGACCCTCTTCCCCCCTTTCCCCTCCTACTCTCTGTCTCCTTTTCCCTCAGCACCCCCCTCACCGAGGCTTTCTCCACCTCCTTGTCCCTCAGGCTGAAGGGCAGGTTGCCCAGCAGCACCAGCCCAATGCCCAGCAGCTCGTATTTGACCGGCTTGATGTGGTCCAGGCTTATGTGCAGCTCGGGGCGACGCGGGGCGCCGGGGGCCTGGGG